AGTAACGTAAAAAATAATAATGTCGGTAGACTGCTAAGTAACGTAAAAATAATAATAATGTCGGTAGACTGGTAAGTAACGTAAAAAATAATAATAACGTCGGTAGACTGGTAAGTAACGTAAAAATAAAATAATAATAATGTCGGTAGACTGGTAAGTAACGTAAAAATAATAATAATGTCGGTAGACTGGTAAGTAACGTAAAAAATAATAACAATAACGTCGATAGACTGGTAAGTAACGTTTTTACGTTACTTACCAGTCTACCGACATTATTATTATTACCAGTCTACCGACATTATTATTATTATAAGTAACGTAAAAAATAATAATAAAGAGTTCACTAAAACATCAAAAACTTAATAATGATCGTTTCTCCTGATGTTTTCCAGAAAAGCCTTTCTAAAAATAAAGTGCGATAGAACCATGAATTATAGAAATTAAAAAAAAACACTTTGAAAATAGGTACACTATCTGTGAATTCCAAGCTTTTAGAGTTAACACACAGGTTGATTACATTACACATTACATAGTATCGGGAAGCTATAATGCGCCAATATTTATAAAATTAATATCGCGTCGTACTAATGATCTGCACGATACACTTCCGCTCTGGTAAATAAATCCACAAATCACTTCGAAGAAAACCATCGTCATCATTAGTAGTTTATATGATTACTAAGTCTATCTATTAATTACCAACTAGTTTTATCTCACGTTTCAGCTGCTAATCTGCAGTCATCTTCGGGGAAGTCCTGAAAAGGACTATTTTTTGGGGGTTGGTAGTGATTGGGATTCAATCCTGGGTCTTCGTGATGGGTTTCCGGTGTGATATCCAGTTACCTGTTATTAGTTAATGATAAGACTTGCGTGATACTTGTCCATGGTGGCATATTATCCTATTATGATAGTAAATTTAAAATATTAATTTATAAGCCCAAAGAATTGGTTTTATTTTATTTTTTGGGGGGGGTAATATTACATGTTAAGACAGACCCGTGTTCTGTCAAAACATCCGGTATGTTTTACTCAAAATATAACCACTGCATTGCGTTTATAAATCGTCGTTTGTCAATTTACTATTAGACTTAGATGATCGTACAGGCTATTAACCATGGCAACGGTTGCTCTCCAATCGCCACCACCTTACCGGAAGTACTTAAATTATAAAGTTAATAAACATCGCCACATTGGCGTAACATAAAGTCGCAGAAATATAGCAGCTGGGATTGGGTGATGTTGTGTGAGTCGTAAAGAGATTTAGAAGTAAAGTAAGGAAGCAGTTTGATCAACTCCAACTGATCGTGTGTATTCTGATCTTCCTAAATATCCTTATCTAGATTATCAGATTTTATACTTAGAGATCAGTCAGTTCCTTATGTGCAACATGGCATTACGTAGTTAATTTAAGATTACGCTTTCTTTCCGTAAGCTGCTGCGCAAAACATACTGTTAAGGCTTAGAGATCAGTGGAAGTGTACATTTCTTATTCACTGATACATTCTGATTCGCTTGGACAAACTAGGTGTAAAAGAGGTGAAAAATGTATCAGTCGATACATCTTGTTTATATGGGTGGTTTAATTTGTTTGTTTGTATGTCAAATTTCGCGCAAAGCTACTCAAGGGTTATCGATGCTAGCCGCCCCTAATTTAACAGTGATAAACTAGAGGGAAGGCAGTTAGTCAACACCAATCACCTCCAACTTTTAGGCTACTTTTTTTACCAACGAATAGTGGGATTTACCATCATATTATAACGCTACCGCGGCTGAAAGGGCGAACATGTTCGATGACGTGATTTGATCCCGCGATCCATAGATTGCGAGTCGAACGTCCTAATCACCAGGCCATGATAGCCCCTACGTGTGAATTACTGATATGTTATTCTTATTTTCAGTGTTTGCTGTATTAGGTTTCCATAGTTTCTACCATTGTTTATTGATCCACGATCCAACAGCATCTGTTGATAGGTAGTAAGCCTGTCACCAACGGTTATTCAACTTAGAATCTAAGAGCCACAAGTTAAATAGTTTGTACTAAATGTACACGCCAATTTAAATACTTTTAGATGGTGGCGACACCTACATGAGAGTTGAGATTTTCAAGTTTTTCTTATCTTTTAATTTTGTAATTTTACCGATAAAAATGCACAAAACAATGGTAATTCTGCTAGTAAAGAACGTCAGGACCTGGACTTCAGGAAAAGCAGATATATATATATATATATATATGCTTAAAGGTCAAATTAAAGGACAAGCTCAGCAGAAGACATTTCATTTCACTATTTTATCCAGTTTCTCGTTTAACAACTGTAGTGTAACTACTTACGCATGTATTCTTTTTAAGTATGACGTTACATTGCACCATATAGACATCTTTCGTTAAAAAACAGCCAACTACCTCAGTGTATTTTGTGTTAAATACAGGAAACCTCCCCAGTGGATATTGTGTTAAATACAGCGAATCCCCAGCTGATTTATTGTTAAATAAAGGGAACATCTCTAGCGGATTTCGTGTTAAATACAGCGAATTTATCGTTTTCTAAAATCACCTTAGGAGGTTTAAATGTCCTTCAATATCGTTTAGTTTTTAAACTCCTCAAAATTTTTTAATTATTAACCTCCTGGTGATTTTTATAGGAACCTTTTTTATCTTATCACTACATTTGATCAACCGTATGAAAATATACCTAAACTTGAGTGAAGCATTTGGAGAGATACCAAACAAATGAACCGTGTTTCTTACTAATCGCAGATAGATCACAAACAAAAGAAAGAGAATAATGAATCTTGCTTCTCACTAAGAGGAGATGATCACCAAAACCAAGCAGAACAAGTGAATCCTGCTGCTTACTAACAGTTGATAACCACCAAAACCAGACAGGCTTACTAACAACAGATGACCACCAAAACAAGAGATAACAACTGAACTTGGTTTCTTATTAACAGGAGATAGACCACCAAAACCAGACAGAACAATTGAACTTGACTTCTTATTAACAGGATATAGACCACTAAAACCAGACAGAACAACTGAACTTGGCTTCTTATTAACAGGAGATAGACCATTAAAACCAGACAGAACAACTGAATCTAGGTTTTTATTAACAGGAGATAGACCACTAAAACCAGACAGAACAATTGAACATGACTTCTTATTAACGGGAGATAGACCATCAAAACCAGAGAGAAGAAGAGAACTTGGCTTCTTACTAACAGAAGATAGACAACCAAAACAAGAAAGAACAAGTGAAGCTGACTTGTTAACAATATGTCCAAGGATACAATAGCTGATTGATATTATAAGTGTTTGAAGTGGCTTAAAGTAACAACAAACTAAAATCAGATGTATTACTACAGTGAACACGAGGTAACTTTAACAATTCATTCTGAAACTACTTACTTCAATCAATGATCTATATATTTCAATTAATTCTTTAAAAACGCGAGAAAAACCGGACACAATAAGAAGTAAAAAACGGCTGTCTGGTTTTATGTGTTATCTTTATGAATTTTATACTGTTGTAACTTTAAGTATGGATGTGTTAGGTCAACTATCGTGACCTAAAAGTCTTTTATTTATTGTGCGTTAGTAACAGAGCAGCCCCCTTGTACAATATAATTCTTGCTACCTCTTCCCCCTCCTCAAACTCTCCTGCAATTTCTAGATGTATATCTAAGTCAATTTTATTTTCTTAGTAATTTCTTGCTAAGTATTTTTCTTACCTGTTGTCATTAGTATCACATGAATATGTATATTTGCACCGTATTGTAGTGGCAACAATTAACGCATGCGCAGTAAGTGAGACTGTAATGATGGGATTTGTTCCTCATAGACAGGTTTTTAATGTCTCTTCTCAGTGCCTTGGAGGCTTAAAAATATACACACACATGTTTCGGTGGTTTTTGCAGAACAAATGGTGTTAAGCCTAAAGATTATTTTAATAGTAGTAGCTCAGACAACCTTTTCCCGAGATTACTGACAGGAATGAGGTGACGAATCATCAGTTTTGGCTTAATCTATCTGTTATCTTTATTTTAGGCCTCAGTTTTGAATAGTCGGATAATATATTGTTATACATCAGACCTAATTGTGATCTATTTTAATAACTAAAGAACCTTTTACGTCAGTTTCGTGCTTCCTGGCTTATTAAAACCACCTAGATGGAATGTCAGGGAACAAAGTAACGTTGTGTGGTCTCCTGACCTAACCCTAGCTACGCCACCACACGGGCGGTGCTAGGATGATATTGAAGAGTTTTGCAGAGAGCCTGAATATACACGTAATTAAAGCTATCAAGGAAGGTTTTATGGTAACGGTAATCGCTGGTAATTAAGCCGCCAAGAGTGTATAGTGCTGAAGAAAGACAACTAGAGATCACGTGACAAGGAAATAGTGACGGCCGGACTGGTTTAAATATTCATTGGTTGTTGTGGGAGTCCAGGGAGGCCACACAAGCAGCACCTCACAAGAGCAATCCTTTACCGAATACTTGAAATTCCTTTGCTATTTTAAATTCACGGATATTGTACTTAGAGCATTAAAGCGTTTTAACTTTTATTTTAAGTTGTATCAGTTACGGACTTTTTTATTATTATTATTACTGTAAGCTATTAATAGTTAGTTAAATCTTCAGGTGGCGGTATAATACTAAGAATCTGATTCGACAATTTTGTTTGAAAACTGAAAGGCATGAGCCATATATTTATCTATTTAGCAAGTCAACATCATTAAAGCTGTATGAAACACAACTCTCACAAACTAAAGATAAGCTCTAGAAGAAGCAAATAAAAAACAAAAAAAGTCGTGTCAGTCAAACCAATTCAAATATGCAAACGTGTCAATTCTGACGAAGAAAACCTTAAATTAGTAAAGATAAAATACTAACATTTTAAGCAAGAACTCCATAAATAAACCCAAAGATTCTTGATGTTTTTCTCTTTTAAAAAATCGTTTAGAGTATTAATTCAAAAATATAAATACATTTAATTCTTGTCACATCGCTTACTGTTTTAAGTTTTAAAGCTATATTCTAGTGTACATAACATTTTTTCAGTAGGGTCAGCGGTAAGTTTACAGACTTACAACACATCTGTGGCTCGAGTCCTCGCGGGGGGGGGGGGGGCAAAGCTTAGCTATAATATGGCTTTGAGCCAAACAAAAACAACACTTTACGTAATCTGTTTTAATCTTTAAACATATCTCTGATACTGAAGATCCAACTACTTAGTGTGCATAGAAGTGTTTTTCAAAATCAACCCACTTGGAAATATGTAGTAACAAGCAAAAGTACCCGTCCCCAGTGACGAGAAAACTTTAAGTTAATCTATCAATTTAAATCATATCATGGACTTTAAAAAGGTTAATTGTGTTGCACTCTTGGTTTCACTCAGAGCCAAAACTCTGAGCTGTTTATACCGCCCAACGCGAAAAGTAATTGTTGAGCATTTCAGTCATACTAAGAGTCGCTCAACAATAACATACGGTAAATATACATTTTAATTCTTTAAGTTACGTCATATTTTGAAATATAAATGTTAGTGTGATTAATTTCAAACAATTAGTGTAGAATATCCTGCTTTCGAAACAAAATTTGACATCAACATTATTCATACCTATTTTCTCGTCATTTCAAAAGTGAATGTTGTGCTTTGCCTGCGTGTGCAGCTTTTCAAAAGGGAGACAAACGAACGCTCGGACAGGCACCACGTTTCGCAATATCTAACCTATATAAAAGCCAGTGTGTGTCACGTCACGTCATGCGTAATTTCTCGAAATAGGAAGAGTCATAAAAGCCAAAATGTATTTATACAGACAGAATAATTTGCTTTCTGTCTGCCCATTACGATTTTAATGACAAGAGGGGATTCTGTGAAACCCTATAAGTGTTGTGAGTGTTGGTATAATAAGCCTAAATTTAACATGTAGTGTGGGATCTCCCAGCCTGGAGCCAAGTGCATAAAATTTATCATGAAAGTAAAAATATCGATTTAATTTTAAACTTAAGTTATTTCTGAATTAAGCTATTTTCTATAATATCATCAACGTTTTTAATAAAAAAACAAACCTCTTTAATCAACGGAGACTCTAAATTAAGAAATCAACAAATGTGTTCCAGTTTTATTGTCTA